AGTCACCTATGCAAATTGGTGAGGATTTTTACCAAAATCCCCAGGAAGTGGGGTGCAAGGGTTGGGAGGATTTTGGGGGGAAAGATGTGTTCAAACTACGTTTCCCAGTAAACCCCAGTTAAAGTTTGGTGGTGGCAGTGGAAATTCCAAGGGCAAAGGGTAAAATTAATTTGTACCTTGGGGAAGTTTTAACCTAAGCTGGTAAAAGTAAGCTTAGGAGATTTTCATGCAGGTCCCCACATCTGTACCCTAGAGTTCAGAGTGGGGGAGGAACCTTGACCTACACCGTGTTACAATGTATTTCAATTCTTTTCACTAGTCAGGCCTACCCTCCTTTAAGGTACATAATATCAGCAGATTTCAGCCATTTGGTATGGAAAGCAGATTTTCTAAACTAAAGGCAAGTTCTTGTTTTCTTCCAAACCACTAATCTCATGAGTAGCCTGTTGAATTAAATAGACTTTAGCATACATGGTAATTCTTTGTAGATTTAAACCCAAAGATTGCTCTTCCAAAATCTCAATCAAACTTCACTCCCACTCCCAAGATTTTGGAAGACTTACTTTTTGTGATCATCTCCCCTTTGAAATATTAGAAGAATAAAGCTACTTCTAAATCTCTTAAATTGTTTGACAGTTAAAACACCTCTGCTTCCCAGTACCTTGAACTTTTTAAGAAGCTTCCTTTCATTATGTTAGATGAAAATGCATCTCTAGTGCAGATTCTCTCCAAAAGAAAGTCATTTCATAAAGGTCTTTCTAGGGAAAAGTAGTTTTAAGTACAAACATAATGCAACAAATCAATATTAATATTTCCAAGTCTCTAAAACAAACACAAGAAGAAATCAAGCTCTCACTGCATTATGTTTATGTTAGGAAAGAAATTGAGCTAAATACATTAAACAAAATGTATTAAGTTCATTTGACCAACACATACTGACCGCTAGATTAGAACCATATTAAATCCTGAATAATCACTGTAAATATGGCTCATAAAAATAAGAAATATATATAATCTCAAAGACCATTGTCTGGGACATAAAGTTTCTGTATTTATGACTCAACTGTGATATTACCTGAATTCCACAACAGTGTCCCAAAATTTTAAGAACCAAAATATATCATATACAGTTATTAGAGAAATATCTTTTCCATTTGTCTGAGTCTTGTTACATAGTACTAGTACTTGCAGTTAAACAGTAGCCAGAAGCTAAAAGAATCGTTTGTTTATTTGCATTCATTTAATTTTGAATCTTGAACTTAAATCTCTCAAACAACGAGTACTTGTGGCACCTTAGACTAACAAATTTATTTGGGCATAAGCTTTCATGGGCTAAAACCCACTTCATCTGATGCCTGGAGTGGAAAATACAGTAGGAAGATATTTATACACAGTACATGAAAAGATGGGAGTTGCCTTACCAAGTGGGGGGTCAGGTCTAATGAGACAATTCAATTAAAGTGGGCTATTATCAACAGGAGGAAAAAATCACTTTTGTAGCGGTAATCAGGGTGGCCCATTTCAAACAGCTGACAAGAAGGTCTGAGTAACATTCAAAAACCAGTTGGAGAACACTTCAACCTCCCTGGACACTCAATAACAGACTTAAAAGTGGCAATTCTTCAACAAAAAAAACCTTCAAAAACAGACTCCAATGAGAAACTGCAGAACTGGAATTAATTTGCAAACTGCATACCAAATTAGGCCTGAATAAAGACTGGGAGTGGATGGGTCACTACAAAAACTAAATTTCCCCATGCTAATTTCCCCCTATTGCTACTCACACCTTCTTGTCAACTGTTTGAAATGGGCCACCTTGATTACCACTACAAAAGTGATTTTTCCTCCTGTTGATAATAGCCCACTTTAATTGAATTGCCTCGTTAGAACTGACTCCTCTCCCTCCCCCCACTTGGTAAGGCAACTCCATCTTTTCATGTACTCTGTGTGTATGTGTATATCTATATCTATATATCTCTCTTCCTACTGTATTTTTCACTCCATGCATCGGATGAAGTGGGTTTTAGCCCACGAAAGCTTATGCCCAAATAAATTTGTTAGTCTCTAAGGTGCCACAAGTACTCCTTGTTTTTGCTGATACAGATTCACACTGCTACCACTCTGAAACCTTAAATCTCTCAAGTCCCATCAGGGCAACATAGGCTTAGGACTTATCTGCTTGCAGTTATATTATGTTGAATTAAGACTATGCATTGATGTACCCAGTTAAATTTCAGCTATGGTTCATAGGAGAAGATTGTGTTTCTTCCTAACTCTGAAAGAACTGAAAAAGGATGCTACAGGAGATGGAATAAGACTGAAAGGAAGCATAAATTCCTAGCATTATTTTTATATTCAAAGTCATTTCAATCTCATTCATGCTTCATATATGATGTTTTTAAATGACTATTTTCCCCCATACATCTTCTGTTCTTGTGCTGTATGTTTGGCTCATATCATATGCAAATACAGGGTTAAACAAAGTCTACTCTTATCCCTTCACAACCTCATTAAAGTCCATGACATTGCACAGATGTAACAGAGCTGAATCTGGAACTGTATGTTTGTTTATTATCAGTCCCATAGACACCACTCCAACAAGGATAGCACTGACTCCTTGATTTTGGTAAAGCATAACTGCCCCCCACAGAATACTTCAGAAGTCCTCTTGGAGAGGACAGGTTTCTCTTCTATAGCACAACCAAGTTAAGAGTCACCCACATTTTTGTTTGTGTTGCACCATGCATTTAAAACAAGGCACATCTATCAGACCCCAAATGTACATTTTTACATATTGCATGTGTGTACAATATGTCTAAAGAAGAAACTGAAGATGCTTTTTATACCACAAAAGAAACCATGTGAACTCGCCCAAAATGGACAGATGGTGGAGGGATAGGACCTTTCTCCAAGATAAGGAATTATCTGATGGAGAAAACAGTATTTTAACTTGGGAAAGCAGAATGAAGGGAGAAATGCAAGATAGTTATTGATCAGTATTTTCTGTGAATTTAGGACAAAGTTTTGAAACCCCTTATTTCATTAGTGATCACTTCAAAATCTGTCACTTCAAGGTTTTTTTATATATATATATATATATATAGGGAATGAGATATTCACACACACTCTAAGCATCCTTTGTAGTTCCTTTGGGTAAACATATGACAGCAGGTAGTAGAAATATGGCTTTCTTTGAAGAAAAAGTTGTAATCTATTCCAGGGAGAGCTTTAAAAATATGAAAAGGAGATGGTCAATCCTCCAATTCTGCTTCTGTTTCACGTCTAAAGGTAATGTATGCATTTCAAACAGACAAGTTTTATGTATACTTCCATGCTCTCACCCTCAAATTCTAATATACCACGTGGTAGTAGTTTCTGGAGTTGAACACTGACTTGAAATTAGTCACAAAATTATGATCTGGAATACTTTAATGCTGTATACAATTCTATTTGACATTATTTCCATTAGTTGCATTAAGTGGGTCAAATACTAACAGAGAATTTAAAAGGCAAAAGCAGAGAATATCTGCTCTTAACTGATTACTTGTTGCATTTGCTTGTGTATCTCTTAGAATGAAAACCATAGGGAGGGACAAGGAAAGTAAAGGAATTTGGTTTGGATCGGACTTTTACAGAAAGCTAAGTAGAAAGAACCCTACAGGTTGCTTTCCACATTCAGTCCAAACTCAGCTAATAAAAACCAAAATAGCTCAATCGCCTAAAGAATTTGCAAAGCCACACCAGAATAAAACTCTACCATATCTGAATCTGCAGCCACAGTGCATATTCTATACCTCATATGATCATTGGGGGAGAAAGACCTGTTTAGTTCATATACATGCAAGCCTACAGAACCGAATCACCTAAGGACATTAAATTACATCACCTCTGAAGACCCCAAAGCAAATTATTCCAAGAATTTTCACTGCCTTTGCATTTTAGTGCTCAAATTTGCATTGATTAAAAAGAGATCATGAATCTGAGCTCTACAAAATATAAAAGTATTGTACAAAATAAATTGCTTTGCAATAACCAGAAATGGTTATTTCATACAGAAACTGCTAATATATAGCACAGCCAGTAGTCATGGAATTTTTTTTTTTTTAAATATAAAGAGAAAGGCTGTTGTCGGGTATTACCAGCTCCTAATGACATCAAAAAGATACATCTTTTAGCCCTGTTACAATATGCAACAGTACTCTGGCTACATATGCAACTGTTGCAGAATTCCAAAAGGAGAAACCTTTTCCTGTTATTCTACAGAGGACAGGCGGGAAATGATTGATTGTTCCTGCACACTCTTTCTTTCAAAAATATCAACAAAACTGTTTTATAAATTGAAAATTAAATAATGATATAGTTAAATCACACATTTTTTGTATTTTTTAAATGTTTGCCCTCAAAAGATATTCTTAGTAATATTTCTGATATAAGTCTGATATTCCTGAAGGCCCTGGTTTTTTGAAACATGGAACTAATACTTTTCAGAAGCATTAAAATAAACTAATGTTATACAGTCAGACAGAGAGAATTCTATAGAGGGTTGGATGACAATTGACATTAAATGCTCTTTCTCCTGGAATCCAGGTTATTGCTTAATCTTTACCCATCTGAGTGACTATAGGCTTACCATCACACATATCAAAACGAAGAGTGCACATCCATATCCCCCTCTACCTCCCAGCTCTCCAACGGAAAACAACTATTTTTGTATTACAACAAAAAATGTGAATGGAAAAACAATACACAGAGTTTTGTAAGGCTGAATACCCCCAAATAAACGCAATTAGACACAAAAACATGACACTCAGTGACGGAAATAGCGTTGATACACGTAAGAAAAAAAGACAACAGGTATTCGAAAATAAAAACCACATGATCAAGCAACAGATCAAGATGATTTTCTCCTGTGCAATTCCCTTGGGAATGGCTCACGTCCGCAGTAGTGAAGCGACCAGGCAGGAACCAGCATCAAAGAAAGGGAAGAAGACGCCACCTACCTGTCCCAAAGGCTTTGGCCACCAGCCACGCTAGATTACAGGCGATTTTAGCTCTGGTGAAATCATAATGGTCAAAAGGTTTGACGGCAGGAACAATGAACGTCTTTCTCATTTCCTTGATGTCTGCAGCATCCCCCATCTTTTTACAGCACCTTCTCTTTTATTTACATGATTATTCTTCCCAAGTCCTCCCCCACAAAATAATAATAATAAAAAAAAACCGTATACAAAATAGACGCAGCAGCCGCCGCCGCCGCCTCCGGTGATGATGAACTCAGCTGTCCATATGGGGTGATGCCTCCTCTGCCCAGGAACGTAGCAGAGCCTCTGCTTTCTCCTTCCCTCGCTCTTTGTCTCAATTCATCCAGGCAAGGCCCCCGCCCCCCAAAATGACAAGTTTATAACCCCCGCTCCCTTTGCTAGGGAAATACCCCCCCCCAGCGAGGGCTGATCCCGCGGGGATCCCCCCGCCCTCCGCCGGCAGGGACGGAGCCCCCGCGGGAGCTGGCCGTGATTTCCCCGCAGCGGCAGGAAGCGGGGACCTGGCCCTTCCCGGCCGCCGCTGAGACACAAGAGATGTCAAAATTCCCAGCGCAGGCTCCGGGCGCGGCGCGGCCCCCGCGCCTTCGCCTCCCCGCAGCGGAGACCCCCGGTGGGTGGGGGCGGCGGCGGCTGCCCTTGCTAGCGCCCCGGCTCCCTTTGGGGCTGCCGCAAATTAACGCCTCTCGGCTCCTGTCCTGTCTCGCCCAGCCGCTGCGGCTTTCCCCAGCCGCTGCCGCACTGGATGGCAGAGCAAATCCGCGCACGGCGCATGCGCCCCGCGCCCCCTCCTCAGCGTGAAACGGCCCTGGCCTGGGCTGGGCGCAGCGACTGGCTAGGGGCGGGGCCTCCCCAGCCCTGGCGGGGAATGGCGTCACGTGGCCGGCCGGACAATGGGGCATTCTTGACGCCAGGCCAAGGCCGGGCAGCTCCCAGGCGCAGCCAGGCCTCGGGGGCCCAGTGCCAGGGGAGCGAGGGCGCTTCCCGCCGCGGGGAGGCAAGGAGCGCGTGCAGTGCTCCATGGACGTACCGAGAGGGACTGGAGCAGCGGCCGCACGAACCCTCCCTCTGCATAGGCCAGTCGCCAGGTGGGACCTTCCACAGGGGACACTAGGTTTCAGAGGAACAGCCGTGTTAGTCTGTATTCGCAAAAAGAAAAAAGACACTAGGAAATCCACACGCTTGTCGACCCTGGTTGTTAACGTTTCTAGGGCACTTCCTGTCGTTGTGGGTTTGTCCCAATGTCCTTGGCTTAAATCATTCCTCCCTATTATATTAGTAGCATTCAAGTGGTGCCTGAGAACCCCCTCCATGGACCGGTACCTCAGCGTGCTAAGTGCTGTACAAACCCATCAAAAAGATAGTCCCTGCCTCAAAGAGTTTACAATTCATGTAAGTTTACAACTCCTTTTGCTAGTGGGTGGTTGTTCTCAAGGAGGCTGCATTTGGGTAGGGTCAGCTGTCTGTAACTTGTAAAATGTTTTGGGGTGAAAAGGGATTATGATGGAGAAAATCTTATGCCAAGGAGTCTATAACTTTTTTTATTGTGTAGATTACATTTTAATTAAGAGATTCTCATGGACCATCTCCTGTCGAACTCATAAATGCATGGACCACCTTCCCTCATGACTGCATGAAATCTTTGGGACAATTTGCTTACATGGAACAGTAGTACCAGTAATGTTATTGTATTATTAAAATAAAATACACTGTTGCATGTCTTTTAGTATGAATTATCAGATGGAAACAAGGAGCAAGCATTATTAGCCAGCTTTAGGTACAATAATAGCAAAAGATCTGCAGATCAACACAACATACACAATTTGAGAACTGTATTATGCAATAAGAAAAATTTTACATTTGTATATATTTAAAGAAACAAGTGAGGACTCTCTGACCAACGTGTGTGTGTAGGCATACAATTTTTAATATTTTCTGTGCTGCGTTCTGTCAAAATATTTTTTATTGTTCTCTATCAGACCTTTTAACATTTAAATGCCAAACTGAAGAAGGCAAGAACTAGTTATATATAAATATATATTCCATAAAATAGAATTCCATACAAAAACATGCTACAGCTCCATTGTTTAACATCTAGAAGTCCAAAAATGCTATATTAAGGTTGCACACTAGCTGGGATGGGGATTATTGATGAGAAAGTAAACACAAAAAGTACTTACTTTTAAATAATTAAATCTGTCATTCCAATTTTATATATAACAGTTTTGATGTAATTCAACATTTGTGACATGTACTTGATAATGTTCCTGTATTGACGTACTGCCCCCTAGGCTTGGAATAGCCTCCCATCTCTGTCCACCAACCATTTTATCTTAATTCCTCTTTAAAATCAACTTATTTTTTAAATTCTTCCTCACTTAATGTTGCGTCCACACTCTCTACGTGAACTACTGTCCTGCGTTTCTTTTTATGCGAGAGTTAGATTCTAATACTGTTTTGGACTGGAACAGATTACTGTTTCATTATTTGCCCTGTGAGGCACCTTGTATGCTTCTGATACAATTGCCTACATATCCATATTATGTATATATGATGGCATGGTGAAGTTTAAATTTGTATTGACATGAGTTTGGGATTATTAGTAATTGAGTGGAGAAGCCCTGAGTGAGTTATATAGCAATTCCAAAACAAATATCAAGAGATCATCACTTCCTTGTGTACATACAGTTCCTAACATAGTGGGTCCCTGATCCTGATTTCTGCTATATGAATTATAATTATTAGTAATAATGCCAAACCAACACAGAGACCTTGACTCAGGAGAGCAATCCCTATTCAGGAAGGGTTATTAAGCACAAGCTTAACTTTAAGATTTACTGAACAGAGATTATTATTTTTATGTTTTCATTATTATTTGTATTATTGTAGTGCCTAGGAGCCCTTTCGACATAAGCAGTTAGCTAATATTCAGGGTCTGATAGGGAGGGAAGTTGGTGATGGGGCCATGTATTTCTTTGATGCAGTCCTACTTATTAACAAATAATGTACATAAAGTCCTATTTCCCTGAACACAGCAGGGCTCAAACAGCAGAAGACCGTTTCTTTGCTCATGATTCTAAAGCCACTTTCCATCCAGGACTCTACCCAAAAACTCACTCTCTTAGCTTTTTCTCAGAAGCACAAATATTGTAGCCATGATATAGCCCAAACTGGCTATACCATAATCCTTTTCACTTATGCTAAGTATCCCATAATTCCTTGCATTTGCTGAAGTAAGCATTTGTCATAAGCAGATAGAACAAATGTATCTTGATTCTGACAAGTACTCTATGTAATAATACAAGCGAGGGAAGTACCTTCAAAGACCAGTACCTAGAATGCTCGTATCCTAACAAAGGTAAGGGTGTGGCATGGCCCCACAGTACGCCAACATTTTTATGGCTGCCTTAGAACAGCGCTTCCTCAGCTCTCACCCTAACACTCCTAGTCTACTTGCACTACATTAGTGACATCTTCATCATCTGGACCCATGGAAAAGAAGCCCTTGAGGAATTCCACCAGGATTTCAACAATTTCCATCCCACCGTCAACCTCAGTCCGGACCAGTCCACACAGGAGATCCACTTCCTGGACACTATGGTGCTAATAAGCGATGGTCACATAAACACCACCCTATACCCGAAACCTACTGACCACTATACTTACCTACATGCCTCCAGCTTTCATACAGACCACATCACACAATCCACTGTCTACAGCCAAGCTCTAAGATACAATCGCATTTGCTCCAATCCCTCAGACAGAGACAAACACCTTCAAGATCTCTATCAAGCGTTCTTAAAACTACAGTACCCACCTGCTGAAGTGAAGAAACAGATTGACAGAGCCAGAAGAGTACCCAGAAGTCACCTCCTACAGGACAGGCCCAACAAAGAAAGTAATAGAATGGCACTAGCCGTCACCTTCATCCCGCAACTAAAACCTCTCCAGCACATCATCAAGGATTTACAACCTATCCTGAAGGATGATCCCTCATTCTCACAGACCTTGGGAGACAGGCCAGTCCTCACTTAAAGACAGCCCCTCAACCTGAAGCAAATACTCACCAGCAACCACACAACAAAAACACTAACCCTAACCCTATCCTTACAACAAACCCCGTTGCCAACTGTGTCCACATATCTATTCAAGGAACACCATCATAGGACCTAATCACATCAGGGGCTCGTTCACCTGCACATCTATCAATGTGATATATGCCATCATGTGCCAGCAATGCCCCTCTGCCATGTACATTGGCCAAACCTGACAGTCTCTACACAAAAGAATAAATGGACACAAATCAGATGTCAAGAATTATAACATTCAAAAACCAGTCGGAGAACACTTCAGCCTCCCTGGACACTCTTCCTACTCTTCCTATTTTCCACTGTATGCATCCAATGAAGTAGGCTTTAGCTTATGCTCAAATAAATTTGTTAGTCTCTCTAAGGTGCCACAAGTACTTGTTCTTTTTGACCTAAAAGTGGCAATTCTTCAATAAAAAAATCTTCAAAAACAGACTCCAACAAGAAACTGCAGAACTGGAATTAATTTGCAAACTGGATACCATCAAATTAGACTTGAATAAAGACTGGGAGTGGATGGGTCATTACACAAACTAAAAACTATTTCCCCATGCTAATTTTTGCCCCTACTATTACTCGCACCTTCTTGTCAACTGTTTGAAATGGGCCATTCTGATTATCACTACAAAAGTTTTTTTTCTCCTGCTGATAATAGCCCACCTTAATTGATTTGTCTCATTAGAGTTGGTATGGCAACCCCATCTTTTCATGTTCTGTGTGTGTGTGTGTGTGTGTCTTCCTACTATATTTTCCACTCCGTGCATCTGATGAAGTGAGTTTTAGCCCACAAAACGTTATGCCCAAATAAATTTGTTAGTCTCTAAGGTGCCACAAGTACTTCTCGTTCTTCTTGTTGATACAGACTAACACGGCTCCCACTCTGAAACCAGCAGCTGAAATGTGTAACTTTGGGAGCAGACCTGCATAAGGTGAACGTAATATCACTGCACGAGACAGCTTCTCGGAGACTGGTATATAGAATCTTGTTCCTGTACTATATTAATCAACCTGACTGACATTGATTATTTGCTCTCTTGAGTATATTTTATAATCATCCAAAGTGTGGTCAAGCAATTGACTATACAAATTGTCAACATTTATCCTGAAGGAAGGGCAGTTGTTACACCCACAGCTTCAATGAGATTTCATCCAACCCCTAGCCTCACACCTGCACACCCCATCTGAAATCAGCAGAGCAACAAAATGTACATCAGCTGAGTATATACTATGGCACATAATTTTCTTGTGCTACATACCGCAGTTAT